ACCCAGAAGCAACTCTTTTCTGCAATACAACACCATTGACTAGGATGTGTTAAAAAAATGCATGGCACCCAAAATCCTGAGCAGCTGCTGTTGGGTAAAACAGAAGAAATGCCAGAAGGACATATGTGCCAAAGGTGACTAATAGTGCAACACACTGTACTCATGACAGACACATTATAGGAAAAAAGTAGTAGACTCTGTGGGGTAGAAAGCCAAGCGTGTGTTAAGACAATATCATCTATGAGTGTTTAGAAATAAGAGTGCTGCTAGCAAGAGTTAGAGCAGGTCTCCTGGAGAGATGGGAAGATAGGAAATAAACATCGATGGAAGGATGGACAGGGGTAATAGAGAAGGTTTTGTCTGACTCGCAAAACACAGTAAGTAAAGAGTGATGTTGGAAATGAGAATGGTGTGTTTGAAAACCTGTAGGGAGGTGTGTCTGACTAAAGCAAAAGCATAGTGGGGCGGCCATGTGAACTGGCTCTGCCTTGGTTGGGAAGGGCAGCCACTTGAGTGGAAACAGCAAAAAAGAGAAGAACAGAAAAATATCAAAGTTCTCCTCACTAGGTGACTATCTTGGTCAATTTTTTTTAAAAGATTTTATTTATTTATTTGAGAGAGTGAGCAAGTAAGAGAGAGCATGAGAGGGGAGAAGGTCAGAGGGAAAAGCAGACTCCCTGCTGAGCAGAGAGCCCGATGTGGGACTTGATCCAGAGACTCCGGGATCATGACGTGAGTGGAAGGCAGTTGCCTAACCAACTGAGCCACCCAGGCACCCCTTGGTCAATTATTTTTTGTCAGTGCCTTCCTGTAGTCAGTACTCACTGAAATTCTGAAACTATATCAAGCATATTTATAGGGGGAAATGGTTTGTTCTGTCTAAAGTCCAAGTCCTTTAATGTACTTCCAAACACATACATTCTGAAAAGAGTGATAGAAAACTGAAAAAAGAACAAAACTTCCAATAAGTGAGAAATAATTTGCCGGGGGAAACTTTTTTTTTAAACTGTTTTTCTTTTTTTAGAAATGAATTAGTCAGAGAACCTGTTGCAGTGTCCTTTATTAAATAAAAATTAATAAAAATTATTTAGTAATAATTATGATGCTATCATATTAGTTATATTGCACCAGTTATATTAATGATTAGTAATAGAAAAATAATGGATATTAATTAATAATTATTAATTCATAGAAAATAAATTTAATTAGACTTTAAAGAATATTAGTTTGAAGGAGCATCAAATTATTCATCTACCCCAGGCACACGTTTCCTGAGGTCTGAGTTGGAAGTCCCTCCCTGGAGAGAAGTATGAGATCAGGTGGAAAAACAGGTTGAAGTTAAATTATGGAAGTCCTTAGATGATAGTCTCAGGCACTCAGACTGTATCCCATGCTCAGGAAAAGAGTCTCGAAGGTATCTAAGCAAGTGAGTGAAGTGACATTTAGGAGGTCAAGCGTTGCCACTGTATGGATAGATAGGATAGATAGGAAAGGACACACAGGGAGACCAGGTAGAGACATGCTGAAGTAATTAGGCACAAAGCAGTGACAGTCCAGCCAAAGGTGTTCTAGGGTTCCGAAGATAGCTTGACACATTTTGAAGAAAAAAATAACACACTGCTTTGTGACTGACCAGATGTAAGAGAAATTTGAGCAGATTTAGGTGATAAGCATGAAAGAGAAGGTGAACAATGGTGTCCAGCACAAAGCAAAGAATTTGAAGCAGAGAGCAGAAGCTCATTGGAGGGATAAAAGGAACGTGTTTGGGTGGAAGATTTAGACACACCAATAAGACATGGATTAAGTCAGTAGACAGCTGCGGAAAGGCTACGTTATAGGAGTCCTCCCTCAGCCTATGTTACGTCTTCAGAGAAGGACAATCTGCACAAAAGAAGATAGCCACAATAGCCTTCTTCATGGTATGTCGTGAAGAGATACCCATTGAATATGCATTATTTTCCACCCCCTAGATCAGTCACAAGTGGATCCTAACACCAATTTCTGTCACATCTTGAGTATAAAAAACAATAAAATATGGAATTTCAAAGGTTTGTCCAAGGAAAATATTTTTCTTCTTTACACTCACATATTTCTTCTGAACTGAAATAAAATATCCCACATATAAGCAATTACTTCTTTTTGCTGAGCAACAGATTTATTATTCATTTACTAGAAAAACATGTTTAGCACAAAGAGAGGTTACGTAGAAAGATAAAAACGTAACAGTTCCAGATATTCACTGATTTTTGAAAAAGACATTTCTCAATTTGTAGAATGTATAAACACAGACATGAAAAATACCAACATCACATTTTTTAAAAATTGGCAAGAACACTGGGCCTTAATAAAAATAAAATTAAAATGGTAACTTTGGAAACACTGCATTCTGTGAGATGTGTCCATGTTTCTTCTGGAAAAATCTACATGTTGGTTCCAAATCATATTTATCAATAGGAGTAATTTGAATACAGTGAATATTTAAACCCAGCTATGTCAAGAGGATAAACAATAACCACAGGCATTAGGTCAGGAAAGAACTGAGCTTTTAATATAGACATTCTTATTTTAAAAACTCCAGGTGCATTCAGAGTAGTCTTAGTGATTGTATTAACAATGGCAAAAGTTGGAAGTGATGAAATTTTCAGTTGCCTTAGATTGCTATTAACATTACTTATCTTAAAATTTCTGAGTCCAGGTTTTTATTGTATGTAATTAAGTTCCATTTTTTTTTCCATCTCTGTAACAACCCTAAGGAGATAAGAACTTGGAAAGCTAGAAGAGTAAGGAAAATAGTAACAAAAGGACCAATATGTGGAGAGAGAGATAAATGAATACAATAATTTAATTCAACCAGCATTCATTATTATTCAAATGGCATTCTACAGAGGTTTACAAAGACAGAGTGGAGACACAAGGGCCAAACTCCATGAACTTAAAATCCATGCAGGGAGACATTACATTCTACTTATGTGATTCAAATAACAGGATTAAAAAAACGAAGGTAAAACAATACCGCAGGTGCATCATAGTGCATGCCAAAATGCTGAGAAAAACTGGTGTCATCAAAAGAGGCTCCAAAGAGAAAATGTCTGTGTGATTACACTCTGAGGGAAGTGTAGAATTTGGCACAGGAACCCCAGACAGAAGAATAGTATAAGATAACTAGAGTGGAAACAGGAAGCCAGGAATAAACTCAGAGAAGACCTGAAAAGAAGGACAGGAGGCAAAGTGGGTAAGGGAATGAAGGGCCTGGAACATAAGGCCAAGGCATCAGAGTCTGATTCAAAAGGGAATAAGAAGCCACTGTTGGTTTTTAAATAAGAAAGGAGCTTCAGAAATATTCGGATGTTGTGTCTCCAACCATCTCTTGGGTTGAATGAAAATGTGATCAAACTCATGTTTGCATATACATGGCTGATTTGGCCTTTACTCTGGAGGCACCATGATCGACATATATGTGGTTTTTATGACGAAGCTAGATTTAAAGAACCTGGTAATCTAGCAAGCTCGCTTTTTTATAAACTGACATTTAAGGCATTTATAGTTGACTATGCTGGAAATTCTCAAAAAGATGATTCCCCCAAATTTATTCCCAAATGATCAACTAAAAGAATGCATGTAGTACTATAGAGTGAATTGTGTCCCCCTAAATCTCATATTTTGAATAAGTTCTATCCTCCAGTGTGATAGTATTTGGAGATGGGGCCTTTGGGAAATAATTAGGTTTAGATGGAGTCATGAGGGTGGAGCTCTTTTGAGGGGTTCAGTGCCCTTATAAGAAGAGACAGTGGACAACTTCCTTTCTATGTCTCTGCCACCTGAAGACAGAGGGAGAGGGTGGTTATCTGCAAGACAGGAACAGAGCCCTCACCAAGTTGCTGAATCTGCCAGCACCTTGATCTTGGACTTCCCAGCCTCCAGAGCCGTAAGAAATAAATTCCAGTTGTTTAGGCTACCCAGTCTAGGATATTTTGTTATGACACCTCAGGCCAACTAATACACTTAGGCCATTATAAACATTTCAGACACTTCACTGATCCCCTCTCCATGTGCTTCCGTAGATTTTTCCTGGCTTTACCTTTCATGGGTGGCAGGCCAGGGGGTGTTTAGTTAACATCTGTTGGATGCTCTACACATATTATCTAGTTGAATCCTGGTAAGAATATGTGATGCGATGACTTACGGTAAGTATTTCAAGATAGTTTTATTGGAAAAAAGTGATAGAAAATGTACACATTTTATAATCCACAATTAGGAGTCTTCTAAGGAGTATACATATATAACTAATTTGAAATCTGGTAGCCATAGTGGACAATGAAAATAAAACACTCCTTGATAACTTTTCTTAAGGATAATCAATAATTTATTTTTTATCGTCACAATTACCACAGTTATCTAGCTACATGACCAATGTCACTACATACCACAGGAAGACTGTCCACCTACACTTCACTGAGACAAAGACAACGGCCATTTATGTGTTAAATGTACAACGGGCTATTAAAAAGAGGTGGTTTTTACGTATAAGACAAGATGTGGCACATGATTTATTAACAGGATTGATTTTAATACGTATTATGCCAAGAAGCAAGCATAGAAATGTTTTGGCATTGAGTTGTTTTTAAAGTAGAAAATAAGTAAACTAGAGAAATAAATCCAGATCTTAACTTACAATAGATACATTAAAATAGGAAATTAATTGGCTCCTCAGTATTTCTGTTCAAGCTTTTTTTTGTTTTCTTTCCTTTTGTTAGTTTTTTTTATATATATATATAAATGAGTAATACGAATATATCACAAGTTAAAGAAAGATCTCAGCCAAAAAGAAGGTACCAGCATATGAAAAACAAATGAAAAATTACCAGGTATTTTTGCTTACAAAAAATTTAAACTATAAAGAGTCACAAAATATATATAAAAATGCCACATTGAACGAGGCAATCATACTCTACCCAAACTGGTAGCACCCTCCTAAAATCAGTTGCATCCCATTCATTCGGTCATACAGTGGTGACTGACAAAAAGGCATTATGCACCCGGGTGCCATCAGGAGACTTGGCCCCGTGGGTCATCAGTTCTTGGATTGTCATCCAGTTGTCCAAAATTTTCTTGTTTCTCTTTTTCATCATCTTTTTGTGACTCAGTTCAATGATGTTGATCTCCTTCTTGCCCTCGCTGCCACTCTGGGGGCTCTCCTTAAGACACTCCAAGCGGCTCCGCATCATGAACTCCCGGCGCCGACGCTGCTCTTTGGCGCGAACCAGGTGCTGCTTTCTCTCCTCTTTGCTCCAGTAGCGGCCCATTTTCATCTCGCTCATGGTGTCATCATCCGTCGTCATGCCACTGCGCTCCTCCTTGATCTTTAAGGCACGTTCCCTCAGAATCCGGTCTCGCACCGGTCTCTTGGTTATGTACCGCGTCCCGTCGCTCCGGATTTTCACCTTCCACTCCATCTTGGGCTCTGAACACTTCTGGGCCTCCTTGCACATGCTCACTAAACTCAGCTGGCTCTGCGCATACTCGACTGCGGATTTCTGCTGAATTAACTGCATGTAGCTTTGATAATGGCGGGCGTGTGCTGGGATGTTTGCGTATCTGTAGGAGGAGCTGTGGTAAGGAGAGAGGTAAGGGATGTGCTCGCTGCTGGTTTTCTCCTGCTCGGAAACCTTGCTGCCTTCGGAAATCTTCTCCTTGCCCTCCGCGCTGCAGCCTTGTTCGATGGTTTTGGCTTTGGTGGAGGTTGACTCTTTACTGCTCTGTCCGGAAGAAGACGGACTGGCGGCCATTGTGCTTCTCAGGTTTTTCTTATTGGTGAGGTTGATCATTCTGGGAAGGGAGCTGTCAGGGGAACGGTCCACAGTGAGTGGGGTGCTTCTGCAGCTTTCTGCTGTGTTGTAAGCACTAGAACTGTCCTTGTCCGACTTCTCTGGGTGTTCGATGATGTCGTCTAGTTTCCCCCGTGGCATATCCATGCTGGTGTTATAATTCCGGAATCCTCCATCGTGCAAAGCCCAGATGTCTCCGTACGGGTCTGTCGCTTTCTGGAGCCTGTGCGCCTGCATGATATTCTGGCACTCCAGTTCAATGTTTCTTAGTTCTTCGTTAAGCAACTGTAGCTCGTGCTCCACTCCCTCTTGTTCCCCTTGATGGCATTCTATTGTGCTGCTCGAGTAATACAGGTCATACTCTCCATGGTTTCGAATCTTGCATTTGAGCTCCAAGAGCTGTCGGAATCTTTCACACTCCTCGTCCGCGTTGCCAAGGCAGTCGGAGTCAATGTATTCGCCAGACACGAAGCTCTCGTTGCACTGAAGCTCAATGCTTCCCAGAGTGTCTTGGCTCTGCCCCAGCTCTCTTGTGCTCTTCAAAGATGTGCTGTTGGGGTCCTCGGCGGCGTTGTCCTGCTCTGAGCTCTCATCATTCCGCAAGCTTTCATCCGTGCGCCCTACCCCGCTGTCCTTCTCATGGTTGTTGGAGGACGATGTTGCCGTGTCTGTTGTGCCTTCTTCTTCTTCTTGTTTTTTTGGCTGAGAAAATAAAGTGGAGAGATCAAACAAAACCCGTTATTAAAAAAAAACAAAACAAAACAAAACAAAAAAAACCCCACAGGTTGTTGCAAAACTTGCTTGAAAAAAATGGTGCTTCTTGGCAAAGATGTGGTTCCTAGAAAGCTGTTCCAATTTTAGTACCCTTAACCATTTCAGAAATAGACATTTCGCTCAAGGCAGCTTTTTATGAACTGAAATAAAGAAAACCAAAACTGCTTAGAGACTTGACTTGGGGATAAATAAAATAGGCCACATTTTAATAAATGATTCTTACGTTAAGGTTCTCTCCTACTTGGGAAACTGGCAGGAAGTTGTGTAAATGAGGTGACTGTATGAGTCTCTGAGGTGGTAACACAGAAAAGGATGAGTGAGACAGGTGGTCTAAATGGTCTTCTGCAGTGTGGAGGCCTGGAGTTCTGAAGCCAAGTCACCTTATTATGAGGATTTTTTCCCTGAACTTCAAGCTCAGAAGAAACTTCGCTGATCTATGACACATTGGTTATGGTAAGTCAGACAGCACAGTATCACAGGGATAGGTTAGTATGAAGCCTCGGTCCTTCTATCGATGAGGAACTTTAAGCCCAGATGGAATCAGTTTATGAGTGACTCAGAGAGAGGTAGAAAAGGCCAGTGCCATCCCCCAGAAACAGGATTTCTGCTATGTCCAGGATGCCATATTCCTGCATAGGTACCCTGACCTCAGTGCCTCTCCAAATCACATTGCTCAAAAGCAACAAAATCATCTCAGGACTGCTTTGGGTTACTTAAAGTATTTTTCTACTCTCAACCGGAACTTCCTTCAGATGTGAATTTTATTCTTCTCAGAGTAAATTGTTAGTTCTCATGAAAATCGGAGAAGCACTGATTGCCAGACATGGGCATTGTATCACAAAAATATATTTTTGACATATTTGTGAATACGCACTCATATGTACACTTTATTCCTTGATAGTTTACAGCTTTCATGTAGAACAGTTCACTGTTGCTATCCTAAGAGGATGCTTATGTAATTCTTTCTCTGTGAAGAGGGTAAAATTATTTTTTCCTCCATCATGTATCATATACGAGTCTACATGGCAGTTTCTACATTGTGTTTCCTTTATATGTAAACTTACCATTTTATGTAAATATTTCCCTCTAGCAGGTGTAATTACACAATTAAATATAATTAAGTCTGTTAGTGTTAAAGAAGGACAGAAAGCATAAGAAAAGGTATTCAAAAACAGGCGTGAAAGAGCTATCAAGAAAATTGCTTTATTTTCTCCCACAGAAAGCAGAACAAAACATCACATGAACTGCAGAGGAGAGAACATGACCATGTATAATGTTATTTAAGGATTCAAAGTCTTTCCTTAAAATAGTTTTCCTCATTTTTTGAAAATATGTTGAGATTTTAAATGTCATATTGATAAAGAAATAATATTCTAAATAAGTAATTGTGATTAACAGTGGAGTGCTTGAAATATCTGTATGGTCCTTGCTTATAAGCTGACAATAGAAATCTGATGTGGTGACATTCACACTTGCCATAGCCCCTCCAGAGGATATTATTGATATTGGACATCTGAGTGGATACACCACATTATTTACACTTATATTTTTTCATATCTTCAATGAGTTTAAAAATATAAAAAAGCTAGTGTTTTTTTTTTTTTTTTTTTTTGTTTTTTTTTTTTTTTAGTCTTTTTATGTGGAGTGCCAAGGATACAGATAAATTATGCCAGGGGAGGTGTTCCACAATGTGTCAGCAGCAACCCTAACACCAAGGATAGTATGGGAAGTGAAACTTTCATGTGTACATGGATTTTAGTTTTGAAGTACAGATATAAGTTTTCTTTTTTTAATCAAATTCTCTTTTCTTTAGTCACTGGTTTATAAGCAAGTATGAAAATAAAAAAAGCGTTTTCCATTCCCAAACCTAGACTTCCTAGTTTCTAATATAATGCCCCCCTCTCATTTATCCTTTTCCTATGGAATTATTATGGTGACAGGCAATGCTTCTACCAAGACATTTCTCATGTAGTATTATTGTTTATAAGGGCACAGACTTTTAAAGGTTTCTGTCCTTCTTATCATTTTTCAGTCTCATGCCGAAGAAAAATTTCCACACAATGAAAATCTAACCTCAGGGACATCTAGTGTTACCTCAAAAGACCTAGCATTTGTATTACGTCTGATGAGTAGGCAGCATCTGACACCGTATCTCTTCACCTGGACAGGATTTCTCCCTTCTTTCTTTATTCCAACATCCCCCTGTCAATTCTCTATCAGGTCACATTTTGTATCTAAGAGAGAAAAAGCCTGAAGCAAGGACTTTCTTGCTTGTAACCAGCAGCTGCCACCAAAAAATATCTTTATTTGTGGCCAGCGTTGAAGTCGTACATAAAAATTCCATCTGTCTTACCTATATTGAAAAGCAGTCACCACAGTAGCAGCATTGCTCGTGAGCATGAACTACTGTTTGTGAACTGGCCAATGAGCATCCATGCTCAGCCCAGAGTAGAGCACACATGGCTTTGACACTTAGTCTGCAACGAAATGATTTATTTAATATACAGGCCTGTGCCCATACACACACGCATCCGTCTCTATTGTGGAAAGCTAACATGGCCATATATTCCATCATGCAGCCTGGTAAAGTGATCGGATGTTTGTGCTTCATGTCCCTAAGTGTAACTGTCCAGGATTTTTAAAAAACTATTAAAAAAAAAAAACAACAAAACACCCAAAAAACTATCTCTTAGAATGTGTTAAGAATTCATGTTGAGACCAGAGTGATAAGGATAAGGATAATCCATAAACTGACAGCAGAAGCGTTCATGAAATTATACCGGGCAGATGACTGACATGAACTCAACATAAAAAATCTCGGATACACTGATCTTGTTTTTATCCCATAGGAACAACGACAATCACAAAAGAGTACCAAGACTCAGTCCGCTACAGGCCCCTCTGTAACCTTGCACCAGCAGTGAATTAATTAAGAGCAGAAACTTTGCTCATTTTAATTTGTATGCTCAGGATCGAGTGTGGTGCTTGGGACACATGAAGAGCTCAGCATTTTTGGCTGAATGATTATGTGACCCTAAGGCGAGATGATATCAATGATCTCAAATAGTGGGACTCCTGTCGAGAAGTACATAGGTAGGGCCATGATACCACAAACATAAATAAGATTGATGGCTTACATCATGTCATCATCATCTTATACTTGTCTAACTATTCAAATAGACACATTAATATTTTAAATTATAAAATTAATTTTGGGGAGAGGGGGTAGCTCATGAAATATAGTTTCTCTCTGGCTGGCATATTGAAAAGCAACGCATATTTTTGCCATTAAATTTCTGAATGAGGTCGAACAGTGCCCAGGTCAACATTTGAATCTTGCTGTATTCTGGCAACAATGGTCCCTAAGCTTTCCAAGCTAGAAGGATCTTAATAGAAAAACATTGTATTTATTCCCTCTGCTTCATTTGAGATGCCCATCTGCTCTAGAAAAATTACCATTACAGAGGTGTTTGATCAAACCCTTTGATTTTGTTTTTACTCCATTTATGGTTCTATATTAAGAAAAAAAAAACTAGCAACGTTTCAAATGATGTAGGTCAAGTTGTTGGCCGTACCTGCTCCACCTCGTTGGCCATGCCCTGCATTGCTTCATTATGCTGTTCTTCCAGCATCTCCAAGTTTAACTCCTCTAAGAATTCATTTCTTTCATCTTCCAACCAGCCTTCATCCAGCTGCAAAAGAATACATTAGTACATTACATTAGGTTAGTGCGAGCTCATGCTAAAAGAGGGTAAACTTAAATGGCGATGCCTGACCAGTTCCTTTTATCATAATGATTCTCTTAAGAATACCAGCCTCTGGTAAATTCACCTCTCAGAAGGAAGAAAAGGTGATTAAAAAAAAAAAAAATTGGATGCAGATGCCTTTTATCCTTTCCTGAAACAGAGCTACAGATTTTTTCTCATAACCAAGTAGATCTCACAGCACAGAACATTACCGTCTTTCAGAATATATGAAAAGCATATTGCATAATCCACAGCTGTCACGCTCATTACCTCCAACAGTGCCCGTATTAAAGCACTGCAAAGGTACTAATAGGGCCATGAGACAATTGGGCTTTTTTCCTTAACAGCAACCCCCAATGAGACTGCATACAAAGTGTTCCCCACCCCCAGAACACACCGATGCTGCCCTCATCCCGCTTTTTTATCTTTAGGCAGATGGCTTCCAAGTTAACAAGATGGCTACATGCCACAAACACAGACATTTATTTGATCTGGGGGGAAGAACAGAAAAATTCTAAAATATTCTTCTCAAAAAAAAAAAAAAAAGGTAAGGCTATGCCATGTCTATTTTGATTCATTTTTCAGGTTGAATTGCAAAAAAATATATATATCTGAAACGTCGCATCTAAAGGGAGTGGAGCAGTGTGGAGCACGCAGGGTTTTGTTTGTGGGCTCAGGATCCAAGTATTCTGGTGGGAGTCTTACACAAATTAAACTGAATAAATCCTTTCAGCTTCTCAATACAAAGTGAAGTGGGAAACCTTGCTAAAATGATGAGTGTTGACAGTCAATACAGATAATTTGCCTCAAAGTGGATTTCTGGAGCTGGATTACATAAATTAGCTGTCTATGCTGATTAAATTAACTGAATTACGGTCCATGTTCTGTTTTACTCTGTGTTAAAAGAAACAGCAGCTTTCTAATGAGCCGAAATTGACAATATAGTTGACCCTTGAAAAACAGGGGTTTGAACTGCGTGGGTCCACTTACATGCGGATTTTTTTTTTTAATACAGTACAGTACTCCAAATCTCTTTTCTCTTCCTTGTGCTTTTCTTAATAACATTTTTTTTCTCTAGCTTACTAGGCTATAAGAATAGTATATAATACATGTGACATATAAAAATATGTTATTGGAGTGTTTATGTTATTCGTAAGATTTCCGATCATCAGTAGGCTATTAGCAGTTAAGTTTTTGGGGAGTCAGAAGTTACAGGCCAACTTCTGACTGGGTGGGGGTTTTGGCTCTCTAAATCCCTGCATTGCTCAAGGCTCAGCTGTAGTTTGAGGGATTTTCACCACCCAACAATGGCAAAATAAGCTCTTAAGGGTAAATGAAACTGTAACACTTGAAAAGAAAACAAACTCTGAGAGGACATTAAGTTGCACCGGAAAATGCATTAGCATATATGCTTCATATTCCTTAATATGAAGGTAGTTGTAAGTTTCTTGATATTTATTACAGGCTGCCTAGAATTTAAATTACTCAAATTTGACTGAGGCCAAAGTGCAAACACATTTACTCATCCTCATTTATCTTAATGTAGCCTGAATAACCAAGTTCTACCTCACTGACTTTGATATGCAGATGAACTATGAAAATTAAGCTGACTAAAAATTCAAATTCAGTTTATAATTGTCTAAGTTTTACATCCTTTTTTTCTTTAAGATTTTATTTATTTATTTGACACACACACACACAGAGACTGCATGCAAGCACAAGCAGGGAGAGCTGCAGAGGGAGAGTGAGAAGAAGGGAGCCTGACTTGGGGCTCGAGCCCAGGACCCTGAGATCATGACCTAAGCTGAAGGCAGAGGCTTAACCCACTGAGCTACCCAGGTGAACCAGTTTTACATTTTTTAATCCCTTGTAAATTTTATGAAGCCAAAAACTCCAGACTCCAAAAGAAATTATGTAGAGCTACAAATGTTACTTTTTATAAGCACACCAAGGGATTTTTCTTTAATCGGGTCAAAACAAAATATTTGCTTGCACAGAGCTAGTGAATAATGGAACAGAGTCTTCTGAAATTTAAATGAAGGGGTGGGAAAGATAAGGAGAACAAACTGTAGAAATTAAGGATTTCCTATAACTCTTTTCTTATTAGCTAATCCCACAGATCCTTGGGTGTTACCTGTAGTCAGCCTACATCTATTTTGACAAGTCTTTTGGCTGGAGGTATACACAGCGCAGTGAGTGAGTCACCTCCTTTCCCTCTTGTATTTCCCTTTCCACTGAAGTAAGCATTCATGGTAGTCTGAGTTTTAGACTCCGCCTCAGGCGGACCTTTCCCTGGAGCTGAGCCTGCAGGAAAAGGGGGCTCTCTTTATGAAACTGAGATCTGTCTGCACAGCAGTGGAACACACGTGCCATTTCAGAGAAAGGAACTATCTGCATTGTCTCTGGAGTAGTGTTTACAAGTTCTTATGAGAGCCCTCTCTGCCCCAATGTCCCAAGGGGAAGAGGACAGAATAGCAATATCTTTAATGGTCTAAGGAAGAAAATGAAAGAAAGTTGACAGGGAATGAAAGAAATGAGTTATTTAAAAATATTGCGCAGATGTATAAGACTGCCCCCAGCAAATCTGTAGATCATTTCCAAGAATGTAGAGAGTATCTGAAATATTAAGAAAGGAAAAAGCCTAGAAAAAGTGCACAAGAAACTTCCACACTTTCACGAGTAAAATTCATTTGCAAAAAATACCATAATAAGATACATTAAAATTGATAAAAAATATAGGTGATATAAAGGCAAGGTTTTCTTGGATTTTTTTCTTGCCATTTTATAGCATGTACTGCTTAAATTACATTCTTAAAATAGGGTGTGAAGATCCATTTTCTTTCCTTATTTTTCTAGAAATCTGATTTTCTAAATGCAATTAGCTTTCTTCCAGTGTCATGAGGCTTCTTTAGGATTAAGGGGCTGAAGCAGATCCTGATTTTGACAGGACAGAGTATCCTGCAGTCAGACAGCCATCTTTTCTCAACTGTGGAGAGGAAGTCCTGTTTGGAAATTCATCTTCCAACATTGATTCTGTTAGGTCAGGAGTGTAGTCAGATATTTGAAAATGCCACCAGTTCTACCAAGCATATGTATTTTATTAATGATTAACAGGATCTAGTCTTACATCATGAATTTTTATTCTTTCCACAGTCTGTTATAACTGTTCTATGGCATAGTTTCAGGAAATGCTTTAATTCTAAATTAATGAGGTTCTCTAGAAGTTACATGGAAAGGGCAAGGGAAACCACATTATGACATTGAAATACCTTTTCTCTAACAGGGAGGACCCCTGAGTTCTCTTCGGTTTACCATGCATTTCACTAACATATATTTAGCCCCTTTATTTTGTTCTTTTTCAAGAAAATGGGATCAGTGAGATTAAGTGGTTTGCAAAACTTCCACATAATTAGTGAACTTTCATACATTTTCTGTATTCTTAAATTCACTCCTAAACAGGCAGTCCAGCCAGGCGTGTAGGCTCTCTCCCACTCCCGAGACCGCAGGTGTATAACTATACTCTGCCTTGGGCTATAGCAGGCTTTATGGGATCCATTTAGAATGGTCAAGGGCATAAAGGGAATATATGCGGAAAGGGTGATCTTTTATAACCACTATATTCAAGTCAGGATTTAGTCTGACACTGAAATACACTTCCTCAATGTAATTTATAGATAGTATCCAGTTACTGAGTTTGAAAAATATCAGATCGATAACCTGGGAGACAAATGGTGATATAAGCAACTTCACTCAAACGACTGAGAGATGGAGAGAATGGTGACAACGTGCTGTCCTTTCTGCATTGTGGTGGGTTATAAAAAGCATATAAAAAGAAGGATCCATAGCACTTTTCTTCCACCATTACCTTTCCTTTACTTTCATGACATCCCCCACTGTTAAAGATAGAAAAAACAATTCCTCCAGAAGCTATCCGCTTGTTTTTGACTGGACAGATGTTTTTATCACACTACACTTGGGAAAAATTCCTTCATTATACTTGGAACTACACATGCTACGTGGGTCACTTTATTTGATAAAGTTCTACAAAGATTTAAGTTGATAGTTGGATACGCAAATGTTTCTCTCGTTAGAGATCTTTCAAGGTACCTTAATATGCCAATTAAGTATTTTTAGATAGAGACCTAAAGCAAGGATCCAGACAGAATTTAGAATCATGTGAAGTGAACCATTTTTCATTTACGAATTCATTCAAATAACTTGCAAGTGGAAGGAGAGAATAATGGTTCCATCTTGTGTACATTTTTCCTTCCTTCTTTTTTTTTTCCCCCAAAAAGATAAGTTGATGAGGTTGGTAAGTTAGGAAAGATGACTCTTAATTATGTTTTGCATACTTGGCTTTACCAATAGCCATAGTACTGAGTCGATATAGAACAGCAAATAATGGATGCCAAGTTCAGTCTCAAGATTTCCAACATCCGCTCTGACCTGAATCTCTGGCCTCGCGACGAGCAGCACGATTCTCTTGCACTCATCGCTAGACAGCAACGCCACTGCTTCTTCTCGATTCTGGACATCTTCCCCATTTATCTAGAAAACAAATGGAAGTGGCACATTAGTTTCCATTTCCACAATGCTGCACACAATAAATGGCAAATATCAGCTCATTTGTGGTGAATGTATGGACAATGAAACTCACACAATGGGCTCATCTTCAGCCCCTCCGTGGTAAGTGCCTTCACTCAATTACGCGCTTACTGTAAGAGCCATATCGATCCCTGAAGGATGGCGGACATCAGAGGAAGCAGTTATGTTCATAAATGTCCAACCTGCGCCCTGGCAACATACATCTAGCAACACAATTAACCAGCCCCTGACAGGTGACGTTCATCTTTCTCCGCTCAGAGTAATGGAAGTGTCACTCTGAGATAATAGTGCTGGGGGAAGCAGGGCTGGCAATCCCGCATCTGAAATCCGTCATCCTGCACGTCTGCTACGAGCCAATTAGAGAGCTGCAGTATTATCTCTCACCAGGCAGTGCTCCCAGGCCACTGCTGATTGCATTTTCATTTAATCATCTCATATTTGTGTGGGTCTGACTCAGTTGCCCCAGTCACTCTCAGGATATCTTTCAGGGCTTCACTAATCAAAAGAAGGACAGTTCATCGGTAACGTCCATATCAATACTCCAGTTCTTTCTAAGATTTGTCCATTTCCTCAAACAACAAAACTAATGAAGTATCTTATGGCTCATCTCTTAAGTGAACTTAGGTTAAAAAATAAAACACAGAGGAAAAATGGCTTTTTGCAAGAAACCAAGCTTGAGTAAACTTTTGATTAAAAAGACTCTGCTGGAATTCGAAATATAGCTTTTGTCCTTTTTCTAAATTCTACAGACAGAGCAAATAAGGTTTCTGAAGTTTGTATTTTAAGCTACATTTTCATGTTCAAATGTATTTAGCTCTGAGTTAATTTCTTTCTTTGGATATTTTATATTTATTTTATATTATTGATTGTTCAAATCCACAGGGACAGTGAAGGTTTTGATCATAGTACAGAATCAACATGTGCAGAAAGAAGTTTCAAGAGGTCAAGTAATTATGCCTAAAATAAATATTAATTATTTCAATAAATTAAATAGAAAAGGCAGCTATACTGACCAATTTTTCAATAATTAACATCTTTCATTAAGCATTTCTGCTGGAAAGCATGAATTAGACTGCTGAGATTTTATTTTATTTTCTTCTTGTGGATCTTTGGGATTTTGGCTGATGCACAAGGGCAGATAAAATTATTGAAATAAGCCCAGGTATCTCAACTCTGGACCACAATAAATGATCCTTAATCCTGGACTCTTATCACACATATGGAGCACAAAGAAAGCAGACGATATGTAATAGTCAAAGGGAGAAGGTGGCAATCATACAAACATATATTTTCTTACTCTGATCAAGTAAGTATTGCCTTTGTTTTTCACTTATATATGTAGACAGGAAATTCAGCTTTTACAAGTTTCAAGCACATTTCCTCTTTTGGCAACTCACAATAAAATTCATCAAATTAGAAAACAGAAGCTATGATTCCAAAATGGAACTAATGACGGGAAAGGGAATTTTGTGGTTTTTCTTAAATATACATCTGAAAAGCTATTTCTATGCTGAATCCAAGGCTTTTTCTCAAATAAAGATAAATTGGCCATGGTGGATTCTACTAAACCTCCCCCATCCCCAGTGAAGTGTACTTTGAAAATAATGACTTGAAAATGTTTACTTTCTTTGAGCTTTGGGGGCTTATGTCCATTTTGTAGTAATTCTTTATAGTATATCGGCAGTGTATCTATTTGTCCATTCATTATGGACCTAATTGTCCATCCTCCCGCGATCACCAGGCATGTTGGATCCTGGGGAGATGGAGTTGGGTGCTCTCAGACAGCTTCTCTTCACTTTTTCTGTGCAAAATCTAATGCTCACTATTTTTTTCATTCAAGTATATTCATATAAATTCTTCATCTACATTTCACTTACCATTAACCTAAATACTCTTCATTCATGTTTACTTAATGTTACTATTATGTTTCCTATATTAAATTGCAGGTACTATGGGGCGCCTGGGTGGCTGAGTGGGTTAAAGCCTCTGCCTTCGGATCAGGTCATGATCTCAGGGTCCTGGGATCAAGCCCCACGTTGGGCTCTCTGCTCAGCGGGGAGCCTGCTTCCCCCTCTCTCTCTGCCTGCCTCTCTGCCTACTTGGGATCTCTGTCAAGTAAATAAATAAAATCTTTGAAAAAAAAAGTGCAGGTAATAGTGCCTTTCTCAGAGTGTTCTTGTAAGGGTTAAATGAGTTAATATATCTCTAGGGTTTAACCAAGGGCCTGGTATCCAGGAAGAGCTCTGAATTGGCACATGGTACCGTTGATATTTTTGTTGTTGTTACTTCTTATGACTATGACTACTACTATAATTATTTATGTTCATATTTTAATCCTCAGTAAAGATTCTTTTCTTCTAAATAAAGCAAATACAGTAAAATTCATGTACAAGAATTAAATCCACAGTAGCAAACATCTTTCTACTTTAAAAGACATCTCTCTCATATATATTTTTAACTCCTAGAGAACCACCAAGAAACAATATGGTGTGTTTGATTTGCAGTCTCCTTAGGGTTGGTATTCGTCTCTCTCTGTGAACTCCGCACGACCAGAGCTATGGTCTTCAGTCCCAACGTTATGTCCTTGTTCCTGGAAGGACAGATCCCATGTTATAGAAACACATTTCCATTCAGAATCCTATGTGAATGTGAAAGGAAATGAATTCGCCACAGAAATCTGGGTTTAAAATGTAATTTATTGTTTCTTTTTCAAAATAAAGGCCACTTTAGCCAACTGGCTGGTAGATCCTACTGAACTCAAGACATTAGTTTGATACCCAGAGTGATACTGGGGCAAGAAATGCAGCCCTGGGTCTCAGCAAAGAATGAAAAAGTCTGAGGAATGGAATCAGATAGAGCTTTCAACCTTCATTTGCTCTTGTTCCTGAAGGATGGCTCATACTGCAGGATTGCTGGTGGGAAAGAGGTTTGCCATGCCTGAAAACACCAGGCAGACATAAAGGTGAAGGACTCAGCATCACACGGAGGAGATAAATGAGTGAGTGCGTCACCACGGTTTAATGGAAGGCTTTCATTTAAGAAAAGAGAGGGAAAGAGAACCAGGAGAAAGGCAACATACAACTTTTGTCGTAAATGAGGAAAAACTGCGCCAGAGAATATGTCTTGTCTCATTTTCTGTGCATGGCCGTATATAAATATTGATTTCAAAGCAGATACTGCTTTGGCTTAGAAGAGATTTGTGGCATTACAAAGATAAATCACCCAAAATCTCACTTTAGGCCCAATCTCCTGTATGTGCATATGAGTGTGTATGTACGTGTGTGTGTGTGTGTGTGTGTGTGTGTGTGTGTGCGCAAATGTGTGCAGGACCCTAAAAGCCTAGAAATGGTTTAACATAGCTTTTTTTGCACGAATGTGCCAATTTTTAGGTTTCCTATATTGATGTTCCAGGAGTGGGTGGGCAACTAAAATTCTTGGCATCTGACCACCTATGGAATTTATTTGAAAATGCAGGAGCCTAAGGCAAAAGAGGCATGATGTACTTTAAGTGTGCTTATATTTTAGTGTGGAAGGAAGGTGAATAACCTACAGAGATATAGAGGTGGACAGAACAGAAATGGGAGGAAAACAGTTATCTAAAGGGCAGAAAAGAAAAGTATAGGAACAAAAGCTGGGGACAAGTTTATGCGTAGGGCAGAGATAGAGAGAGAAAGCTCAGTTGGAGTCTTACTGCCCCAGTGCTCGAGTTTTTGCAGGGTTTTGTCAGGGAGGGAGTAATCCTTAGGAACATGACCACTTTTTTGGCAAACATGAGATTAGGTTGCTGACATAGAATACTGTACGCTTACTGTCCCAAGGAGGAAGTGAGAATATAGCCCTCTGATCATGGAGGTATGTGATCTTTAGTTCCTCCTCTGTGGGGCTCAGAAAAGCCTGTTTTCACTCAGCATTGCAATTTTGTGAGAGGACTTCACCATATGAATTCCTGAGGCTACATCTGATACCACAAGCTTGTGGCAATGGCACAGCACACAGAACTGTCAAGTGCTTGCAGGGAAAAAAGCATGTGAGAGTTAAAACTTGTTCTCATGAAACCGGGTCATGGTTTTTCTTCTGTACAATCCCTACCTTGGGCCAATCTCGTGTGAGTACCTGTGGGTGGTGTCTCTAGGTGAGGTCATTTAACAGACCCGCAATGTACTACCTTTAGAAAATTTTAGCTACACCATGAGAACAGGACCATAGGAGTACTCTCCTTAGGTCATCATGAACAGGAAATTAAAACCACAATAGCTCTAAAGAGATTGATTTAAATAAAAGCCAGCCAGGAAACTCCAAGGATAAGAAGTAAATCCTCTCTTTCTCCTCCTCTCATCTCCCTGCGACAGGAGTCATTAATTGTTCATTACAGGGTATCCCATAATCTCTTCATCAGCCATATGGGAGCTATTTGTCTGTGGGTACGATTTTGTCACAGTTTTATTTAATATAATTTCACCATCACCCTTAAGACTCTTTGTTTCCTATGTGTGCAAATAGACTTGAATTCTAGGCTTTTTAATGTGACATGTATTTGTTCATTAAATGTGACATATTTGTCACTGAATATAAAGTAATCAGGCAGACAACAGCATTTTGTCAATCCTGCCGTTGTTTCTTCAGTGAACAACTCCATTAAGGAATGCCTTATTATCCAGCAAATATTTTATCTGAAAACTTTATCTGCCTCTAATATAGCTGAAAATAAGGAAGTATCAAAACATATAACATGTATATATGACAATACAATTGCTTTATTTCTATCTACCTCTACTCATAGAATGAATAGATGCAATTTTAACCACTATATTTGTAGATCTAGCTTATGAGAAAGTGGTTAGCTGGAAATCAGGAAAGGAGCCAGTGAGGTTGCTGGAGAAGCTGTCAAATGTGGAGAGTAGATGGTGAGAGAAGACATGACAGCTGGAAGCAGCAAGAGAAAAATGACAAAAAAAAAAATGTAAGTAACACATCAGAAAATGTGGCCAACCAGGGTGACTTCATATTGTGGCACAAAGTCTTCCAGACATTTTAACCATTGAGTATTTTATTGTTATTACAGCATCCTGTAATGATTGCTGGGCACAATATGACCTTGAGCATCATGAGAAGGTTATATTTTTTTCAATTGAGTATATTCAGCTGTAGATGTTAACAAGGTGAATGATACATTTATAATTGTTTCCAAGTCAAAATAATAATAATAAAATATGTTTGAAGCTTTCATTATCTGGATAGTACACAAAAATGGTACCCTTGTTTTTTAATGAGGCTACATCAGTAAAGCTTTACTGCAGATTGTATTCATTTATCCTATCACTCTGTCCACTGAATACCTGTTTCATTCATTCATTTATTCATGCATGATTGAGAAAGACACTGAAAGTATGGTAGCAAACAAGACAATGCCTTGGTTTCCAGATTCACTTTCTCTTGCCCTGATAGAGCCTGTGACACAGTCCATTCTGTTTAACTACAGGTCGCCACTTAAGGAGCTATAGGAATACAAGTTATATTCTTGAAGTTTTCTAAAAATTAGTAGGGCCATGAATGACCGCAAATCATAGTTTTATTCCTTCCTAACTGGAGTCTTAGGAGCGGTTCCTTGATGAAAAACGAGTTCTGCAGCATCTAGCTAGAGAGGAGCAAGGGTATGCAGTAGAGGTGTGAATCAGTGAGTGGAGCCCTGCAGAAAGGGAAGAAGAGGAGAAGGCTGGGCAAGATAACTGTGGTCAGGGCCCCAGGCAGTGCACCACGCTGTGACCATGACAGCACCCCCTGCATTGTCATCCTCTGTGTGGGCAGCTGTCTTCCTAATTGCACGGGGAGTGCCCCAAATGCCAGGATGGCATCTGGTCTGTTTTCGAAGTCCTGGTTCTAGGCAGAGTGTTGAATCTATTCTTGTTAAAATGCAAAGCAACATTCGTCAAGCATCCACATCTAGGAAGGAGAAGTGGGAGCTGTAGGTTCATCATATGGTCTAAAAGTTATGCAGAATATTTGAACGGTTGATAACTTCCTCAGTTTTTCTTGTGAGTCATCTTCTCAGCTTTGTAGTTGTATGATCAGCAGTAAACTCAAGCCTCGGCTCTAAATTTGGGTTAATCTGGACACACAAGTTGGGGAGCTGTGTGTCTTTCTGCAGCACTCTGTATGGGAAAGGACTCAAGAGGAGAGAGAGAGGGTCGAGGCCGGTATAGAAGACAAACTTTGGCATTCAAAGTCATTTCTAATTTGGCCTGGAATTCTTTCCAGCTCCACATCCCCCTTATGTTCCATTTATCATCTTGCTCATTAAACTGAAATTTTGTCAGTCTTTACATTTTCACATAAATCAAATTTCTTCAGACTTCTAGACTTTCAGGTCCTCATGGAACATAGGAATCCATGTTTCCCTAATTTATTCTGGAAGAGGCAGCAGTAACTGGTGTTGCTGTTGCTCTTACTATTAGAAGTTAATGTTTGTTACTTACATTGCAGTGTGCTAAGCCCTCCAGAAGTATACTCACATTTAACCTTTGCAACAATATGTCTTATTATTACCATTTTTTTTAAAGATTTTATTTATTTGACAGACAGATCACAAGTAGGCAGAGAGGCAAGCAGAGAGAGAGGGGGAAGCAGGCTCCCCGCAGAGCAGAGAGCCCGATGCGGGGCTCGATCCCAGGAACTTGGGATCACGACCTGAGCCGAAGGCAGAGGCTTTAACCCACTGAGCCACCCAGGCACCCCATTATTATTACCATTTTTTAAGATGAGGAAACTGGTTTAGGATGAGGAGTAAAGTAAGAGGTGGAGCTGGGAGGTGAAGCTGAGTAATCCAAGTCCAGAGAAGATACCTTAATTACTAATTATTAGCCAATAATTCTTAATCAATAGTATCATCTTTACTTAAAATTTTTTTAAACAATAGCTGTTTGTTTTGTGGATGCCATTATCTAGAAAAGACAAATTGTTTTCTCTAACATTTTATAAAAAACTAAAAAAAAATGGAAACTATTGAACAGACGGTAGGACACTAAAGGAAATAACCATCTCACATACTTGCAAAATTCGATCCCCTTCTCGAATTCGGCCGTCTTTGGCAGCTATGCTATTTGGATCCACCTGTAATGGAGAAAACACGCATCTTCAACTGGTTATGCGATACTCCCCCAGGAACTTAAAAATATCACTTAAAAAATATTTTTAGTAACCTGGTTAAAAATTCTCTACTGATTTATAGAAGGCATGCCAAAGTTTTCTGTTAAATAAAAACCACTGATTCAAAAAATGTAAGTGGACTATTTTAGAATTAATAACAAAAAAGAGAGAACTACCTCAGAATTTAATTTGAAAATGATTTTTCTCTCTCTCCCTCCCTTTTTCTCTTTCTTTTGTTCTTTTTGCTCTTTTCTTCTTCTTCTTCTCCTTCTTCTTCTCCTCCTCCTTCTCCTTCTTCTTTCTTCTTTCTTCTTCTTCTTTCTTCTTTCTTCTTCTTCTTTCTTCTTCTTCTTTTTTAAACATCTGGTTCACTCATTTCTGTATCCAAACTGTCAGACATGGTCCTCAGCTGACATGGTCTTCAGCAGATGTTAATTCTAGGATTCTCTGGACCCAGGAAATTTGCTTTCTACTAGGGTGATCTTTAAATCCTGGTTTAGCTGTTTTAGAAAAGCTGAGAGCTATACTAAGTCCATTTTATTAAAGAAATTTCTGTCTCATGAACACATTAATTTATAAAGAGATTTATAATTGATGTTGCTTAAAAAATGAAAAAAAAGTTACCTATGTAGATCATTACTAGATTCTAAATTATAAGGTGAAGTGTATTAACTATAAATTATTTTAGAACAAATAGAGATTTAAGCCTTCATTAGGGGTTTACCAACATTTTAATGGGCCAAACTTGAGTGATGACTTACAGTTCACTGGGGGTAAATCTGTCTATCATATTTTGAATGATGGCACTAAGCCATTTATTTAAGATTACTTGATCAAGTCTTTAATTTAAGCCAAGTATTTCAAGTGTAGTATGAGGTTAATTCATCCTATCCAGATGTTACGTATTACTTTCTTATTAGGTGGTGCCACCTAATAAGTGAATTTTAAGTGATCGATCAAGAACAAAGACACTATTATTACATGTAAGAAACATAAGGAAAATATCCCTTCCAAGTACATATGTTCAGTTCCTGTGGCTTCTTTATTGTTCTTACAAAGTTAAGCTCCAAAGTGGGCATATTTAAATGGTAAATAGAGACTTACTAGAGGAAAAGAAGTATGATTAATCAACTGTATCCTACTGAGAAGCTATTCACAATCTAAAACTTTGCCTACAGAACTGTGGTCAAACTAAGGCCAAACTTTGACATTTGTATCTCTGTGCCTATTACAGAAGAAAATTCTTCACCTACTTCCTCACCATATTTGGAGGGATGACCATAGCTGTCCATTTAAAAGAGGCGTATAAGTGAATCATTCTCTGATTTTTTCAATGCAAGATCCAGACAGTAAATTCTTTGGTAAAGTAATAAAAAGTAACATTTACGTTTATAGAGCTGGGTAATTTTCTAATTGCATTGATTACATTATTTTTCCATATTCTAAACACCTCTATAGAAGCAATGAGATAAACATTGTTGTACCAAGTTTCTAGTCAAGGAAGCTGAAGCTCAGTGAGACAAGATCATGGCCAAGAACATTTGGAACAGCATGGGACATTAATTAGTATCTAGTTTGTCTAACTTCTTTTTCACACATACACATTTACATGTACACACACGCATTATGTGTGTGTGTGTATAGATATATATGGGAAGGAGTAAGGCAATACTCACACATCTATGTGTTTCTATATATATTTATATAATTTTCAGTCATATGTACATATAATTAAAATAAATTATACCTCACTACTTCTTACAAAACGATTCTTTGGTGAGTCTTAAAAAATCAACTATAGGGGCGCCTGGGTGGCTCAGTGGTTAAAGCCTCTGCCTTCGGCTCAGGTCATGATCTCAGAGTCCTGGGATCGAGCCTCACATCGGGCTCTCTGCTCAGCAGGGAGCCTGCCTCCTCCTCCTCTCTCTCTCTGCCTGCCTCTCTGCCTACTTGTGATCTGTCAAATAAATAAAAATCTTAAAAAAAAAAAAAAATCAACTATAATAATAAATTCTGCTTCACATTTTTTTCAAAGTCATTAACACTAAGAGAGTTTCATGTACACGTACTTCACTTTCTGACATTGATTATAGGGTTGAAAAAAAAAAACTCACAGATACATTCTGTGGATATTCAAAGGTATCAATCCTGCCAGCAGAGTAAAATATGTAATATTTGTGATATTAGGTCTAAAACAATTAGTCAATGCTCTTGTTAAAGCACTGATAAAAGGAATGGAAGGATGAATGTTTGCTCATCAGAAACTTTGCTTGACTTCCTGCATACTTAGGGGAATTTATTCAAATTTAGACAATGCTCCCATTTTTGCAGTTTTCCTTACTGGGATTCTGTGGTGAAAGCATCCCCATTAAACAAGCTGATAATAATTACATTACTTGGGCAACATAATTTACTTTCCTAATTGAAAGTGACAAGTACTGGAAGATGGCCAATTCTTCACATCCAAGCCTCCCAAGGATTTTCTCATCGTGAGTCATTTGACTCCATTACTCGCAGTTTCCCTCCCCCTATCTCCCCTCCTCGGCATTTCTTACTTCGCTGACATAAATGCCCGTGTCTTCTTCATCATCTGTTCGGTAACAGACTGTCAGGCCCAGCTTCTCTTGACTGCTAACACGACACAGCTCGACCTCCTGAGAGAAAAACACACACAGAACGACATTTATCTCAGAAACAAATCCCACAGCAGAATGGAGAACTCACTGATACTCCCTGGGTTGCCTTGGGAGGTTTTCATAATTACTGCCCAACATTTGAATTAGTTTATGTTACCAAAATCATCCAAATGTACCTTCAATGTCTATTTCTATATACTCAAGCCAATGTTTCAAATTTTCATTGTACAGGTGGAAAAGTGCAATTTTTTTGGTATCAAATCATAAACTTAAGGCTTAAAAATTGTACAGTGAAGTATAAAATATGCATTAATCAGTAAGATATTTGAGACTGTCAAAGTAGGTAGAAAAATGTTCATAAAAATACTGAGAGTTACTGTGGATTTTATTTGTATTTTAATAAAACAAAACAAAGTTCAAATTAAAAAAGACTACATTGGGCTCCGTGTCAATCCTTCTCTGGAGTTCTATGCTATGTGGTAATCAGCAAGAGTTTTGTGTAGTTCAGGCCAAGGCTTTCTATTATTTTGTAGAAGCTCTTAACCCTTGGAGTGAAATGGGTTCATCCAGGCTGAAGGGAGAGACATCAACAGTCATATGAGCAGAAGCAATGATTCAAAATGTAGCAGTAAATGAACATGGAAACACATTTACTGAAACACATGGCTAAGGGGCTTGAAATGTCAGTCCTTAGGTAATGTATATTGAATCTATTTCCTGATTTATGTTCAGTAAAATAATAATAAATTTCAGTGTATTTCATTTTTATATAATGAAATAGACTTGTACTACTTTCAGAAACAGATGACTTTAGGACAAATCGCATAATTCCCAGCACTAAAAGATAAATTAGTGTTCTCATCATGGAGAACTTGCTCCTATTGGATGAAGAATATAAGGCCCTTTGATAAATAATCAGATGAGATAAAAAAAAAAAAAGAAAATGGAAATGGAAAGAGAAGTCTGCATGAGAGTTCTGGAACTCGGGCTCTATGGGAGTTGCAAATTTGTCTGCCTTGCTTAGTGCTGTTTCTCCAGGTCCTAGAACAGGGAAAGGCATAGTGTGGGCACTCAGCAAATCCAGGCTGAAGGGTGGCTGCTTTTATTTCAAATCTTTCCTGGTGTTTGTAACTTTCTGTAAAACAATAATTAAGCAGTCTTTCCTCTTTAATGGGAGACAGATTTCGTGTGTATGTGTGTGTATACATGCATGTGTGAATGAAAAGAAGATTAGGAAGTTTGATTATAATAAGCATCCATTTAACCATGTACTATCTGAAATAGCTACCAGGACTAAATAAAGAAAAGCTCACTTAACTTCAGACAAGGGGATATTTTCCAGAATACTCTGTTGCATTTGAAGAAGGAGCCTCCCTTTCAATTTTGTATCTTAGGGCAGGCCTTGTCATTGGAAAATAACCATTTATTTTAATGACATGCTATAAACCATAGGAAAATCCTTAGCAAGGGTAGACTATCATAAGCTCTAGTGACCAATAATTTCATAGCTGATAGCAAATAAAACAACATTAGGTCCTCTGTCCTGAGATATGTACTGTAAATTGGCAAACTCCATGAAACTACGAAGAATGACTTTGTAACTGGTTGGCAAAGATTCTCTAAATTCCACCACAGTGGTTAAAAAGGGCATGCTAAACAGTAAGGGAAAAAGGGAGAAAAGTCCTTTCACCTTGAGGAAGAATAGGAAACAGTGGTGTGATCTGGCACCGGAAGTAAAAAAAGTACATACCCAGCAAGAGTATTCTCAAAACTGGCAATCATTAATGCCTCCAGAGGGGGGAAAATACTTGACTGAAACTGTTACATTAGGAAGAAATTGCAGCAACAAAAGAGCTTCAATTACAGCAATGCACTATACAGTTAAGGAGGAGAGAAGCTTATGATTCCTAAGAGGCCTACAAGGAAACCTAAACACTCCATAAAGAACTGAGATTGGGACCTTTAAATTAAAGCAAATGAGGAGCTGTAGTCAAAGCTGTGCCCTGACTTTCAGCATCCTTCTGATAGCAGGGCAGAAAGTCCCTGTGCCGCAGGAAGACACTTCCAGAGGGAGTCTTGCTTTTTAAGTGTTTTCTCAACATTCTCAAGGCTGCAGTATGGTTCTGGGGTTTGTTTAGGAGACACATGCTGAAATATTCTGCAATAAAATGGAACCAGTCTGTGAAGATAGAGAGGGCAGAACCTACCCATAAGGCTTCAATACTGCAAATCAAAGCACCAACTTGAGAATCGCAACAGAAAGACAAAGATCCTGAGGTCAATGTAATTTTTTCAATATTGTCATCCTACTGGACCTCAGCAAAACTGTAGAATAGGTCTCAAAGTTATCTATGACATCTTTGTTTTTAATATCCTACATTTAAGACACTCAGCACCCTCATATTTCCTTCTAACTGTCTGGAGTTGCTAGAGATCTGCCTGTCTAGGCAGCCAGTGGATTTCAGGCTTGTCATCTTACCTATTTCCTAGCAAAGGGGGGCATTCAATGTTACCTTCTATTTCCTCACACAAGTAGCTCTTAGTACATAAAGAAAAGTGATGAATATTTCTTAAAGAGATCATCATTAGTAATTATTTTTTTAGGTTTATAATTTTACTTCCAATACAGTTAACATACAGTATTCTATTAGTTTCGGGTGTGCAACACAGTAACACAACACTTCTGTACAGTACTCGGTGCTCATGCTGATAAGTGTCCTCTTAATCCCCATCACCTATTACACCCATCCCTCCCCCCTACCTCCCCTTCTGTAACCATCTGTTCATTTTTTTATAGTTAAGAGTCTGATAAACCATGAGACACTGTGGACTCTGAGAAACAAACTGAGGGTTTTGGAGGGGAGGGGATTTGGGGTTTGGTGAGCCTGGTGGTGGGTATTATGGAGGGCATGTACTGCATGGAGCACTGGATGTGGTGCATAAACAATGAATTTTGGAACACTGAAAAGAAATAAAATAAAATAAAATAAAATGGAAAAAGAGAGTCCGTTTCTCAGATTAATAATTATTTTAAATGTTGCCCACTTAGGATTTGGTTCATATTAATAAAGACTAAAAATATAAAGCCTTAACTCAAAGGGCCAAACTTGAGGTGGTAGGATTTCAGGCTCTGAGGAAGACTTGAGTGAGATTTCCTGGATCCCACAAACCACCCAATACTAGTGCCAAGTGTGGACCTGCCATTCTTTCTTCAGTTGAGAATGCTTTAGACACTGAATATTTCACATTAGTATGCAGAAGCACACATTTTAGAATCAAAGTTCCTTTAATTCTATGATAAAATAACTTCTAAGCATCTACCTATAGAGCATTTTGTTTGTATGAGGCAAAGGTGGCTTTGTAAAGCCTGATTATCTGAAAGAAAGTCTCTAGTACAGGTTTAATTTAGTATTCCTTTCACAAAGCACACAAGCCTCTGACTTCTGAAGAAACAACCTCCTGGTAATAGAGAATGTTTTCCCTAACAACTTTCATACCTTTCCCTCTGTCACTAGGAAGCTGTTTGATGAAAAACATAAAAGTGAAATGTTACCTCTGTACATTTTCTCCACAGAGACAATTCACAGGCATATACGAATCAAAGCCAAGCATGCACGATGGCGCCACTAACCATCCTTAAGTCATCTGTGACTGGACTGAAAGAAGCACTTCATATACCTGGTAAGACTATATTTGTTTGGTTTAAATGTGCGTTAAGATGCTATGTTCTGGGAACATGTAAAGTCCCTTTAAAAAAATCATAGTGCCTAATCTTGTGAGAAATTGGCTGCATGGAGATTGAGGGTGGAGAAGAGGGTTAAAGTTAGTTAGTAAAGCTTCCTGTGAAACATCTTTCCAGTCATAGAAAGAATGGGATCTATCCATAAGTCAGTTGCCCTACAGTACTGTGAAATTTTTATATATTTTATGATTTGGTCTAAGGAGGAACAGGGAATTTAAAAAGAAAAAAAAAAAAACACTTTTGCTTTCTAGATAGGACTCTGTTGCTAGAGGAAGAACTTAGGCTTAAAAGTGTCTACAATGGCTTTTTAGGCAAATTGTTTCCAAACCCTAGAGAGCTCGGAGACCCAGGCCATGAAGAGAAAATTCAGAGGCAGGCAGTACCACAAATGCCTGAAGATAACCCAGGGCCAGACAGGATGGTCACCGATGTCAACTGACAATCATGGGAGACAGGGGTCTCTTGTGTCCATATCATCCTTTTCTTTTATTTGTGTTCCTGATTTACATTTATCAGACGACAGATGCACTACTATACAAGCTTAGTATTAATCATATATCATTATCTTACATTTTGTAATGTTGATTAGTAACTATCAGAATGCCATGCTCAGTTGTTCTAACAAAACATTTATTAAAAAAAAAAAGAATTAGTGGGAAGTACAAAAACTTTAACTCTCACAGCTAAGGGAAGCTAGATAGTCAACTGTGAAAATATTGCTTCAATATCATTATTTCCTCAATAATGAAAACCAGGAATAATACTTAGTAAGAAATAAATAACAAAATCCCGGAATACCCACATCACTAGGACAGCATCAGGCTCACACAATCCCATCTCCAAATACCCATAAAAAGCTGCTGCACCTCGTAACTAAATTATGTTTCTGTAGAGACAGTAGGGTAAAAGCAAGAGCAGATGGTCATGCCTTTCCACTAACATCCTTAACCTCAGTTCCTTACTCGACTACTTTTTCTTTCTTAATGATATTGTTGTGGAACGCAGGCAGCTTTTTTTTTTTTTAAAGCTTTTATTTATTTATTTGAGAAAGAGACAATGAGAGAGAGCATGAGCGAGGAGAATGTCAGAGGGAGAAGCAGACTCCCCGTGGACCTGGGAGCCCGATGTGGGACTTGATCCGGGAATTCTGGGATCATGACCTGAGCCGAAGGCAGTCGTCCAACCAACTGAGCCACCCAGGTGTCCTGTAGGCAGCTTTTAATACCTCAGTTTTCTCCTCTTAGGAACTCCCTAGATTCTTTGGGAACTAAAGAAT